GGGGGGAAATAAAGAGGGGTGTGGGGTTGCTCCCCCCCGGTTACCAAACTTCCCTTTGGGCAGCTCTGCCCCCTCCTCCCCATCTCCCCCGGGACCGGGAAGGGTTGCTCGCTGCAAGAGGGGGAGATGCTAAAATTTACCAAGAATCCTTCTGGTGCAGGAAAGTGGGTTTCTGGTGATGGGAAGGGAGTCCCCAAGGGAACAGAAAGGCAAGGCTTTACGCCGTCATTTAATAGCTGTCTTTGAAACTCATGGCCTTGCATGATTAATTGCACCATTATTTCCAAAGGTTGACTGCCATCTAGGAGTTAAAATGCTCTTTTTTTTTACTTACCGGTACGTTGATTGTACAAAGATGGCACAATTCAGCATTTCCACGTACGACCCCAGAACATTAAAACGTTCAGAATTGATAGCTCTTGAACAGCCAACAGGCAATATTAGAACGTCTTTGCCTCTCCAGATCTCTCTGACAAAAGATTTGGCAACTGTCTCTTACCTCTTTCTTGCACCATTTTCTTACCTAGGTCTGTTTTCTGTTTACAAGCCTGAAGATGGCTGCTGCTTCTTCCTGCAATGTGGAAGAAGACGAGAGCCTGAAGGGATGTGAACTCTATGTTCAGAAGCACAACATCCAACAGATTTTAAAAGAGTGCATTGTAAACCTTTGCATAGCAAAGCCAGACCGACCCATGAAGTTCCTCAGAGAACACTTTGAAAAATTAGAAAAGGTCAGTGATTTTCAGGTGACTTATAATTTTCGATTTTTAAACCAAAAAATATTGTTTAAAAAGTTTCAAATATTTTGGTACTTTTTTCCTTTTAAATTTTAAATTATCAGGCTACTGTTAAAAAACAGGCTGTTAGAAGAAAAAAACCAGCCCTTTATGTGCTGATGTCTACTATACTGTTGGCTATTGTATAGAATTCTTTGTGCATAACACCAAGATTATAATTTCTCAGCAAACTGCATGTGTTAAAAATGACCCAAAGAGTTAGAAGCATACTTTGTGTTACGATGCATGGCGTCCTGAACTCTCATCTATGGGAAGAACCTGTCTGTGAGAGCAAAAGACGCTATTCTCTGTTTATTCCAGTGTCAGGTGATGTGGTTTTCCCTTCCCCTAAAACTGAACAAAATCAGGGAACGAGCAAGTTCTGAAAACCATCAAAGTTTGCCGTTTAGTTTTACTGCTCTAGCCTGTCTGCATTGCTTATCCCAGGATCCTCCAACAAGAGAAGCATTCAGAGAGACTTCATACACTGTCTTCAAAAGTGGCATAGAGGGGGAAACATTTTAAAACATTCTCAGACAAATCCTAACTAAAGACTATGGGTGTCTTTTGCAGGACGAGCATGTTGTGTGAGCACAACTTTTCTCTGGGGATGGAATTTCTCCAGAAATAAATGGGAGAAAAGGGCTGCAAGTTGTTGGTTATACAAGTTCTCAGTCTGCCAGAGACTTTATTCAGGTACTTAGTTTAAGAAGAGAATTATTTGCTTTTTTGAAGGAAATGTCTAAAGTTTATAGGCTTAAGACATGAGTTTTATTTAGTTTTTTCCTTCTAGAGACAGGATTTTGTAAGGACAGAGAAAGAACAATATGTAGTGAATAATACATACAGCTCATATATTACAGGTGATACAAGCATTTTATACATCTCATTGTCCGCTTTTCAGATAATTTTTTGTATAGGCGAGTATATGCCAAATTTGTGTAGCTTTAAAAAAATGCAAACATTGCATTTGGTGGAAGCCCAGTAAGAATGCCTGGAACATCAGGAAGGGGTAGGAAGTACAAGGTGTTTTTTAATTGTAATGCTTACTATTAAAAAAGAAAAATCTCTTAGTTCTGCATATTCTAGACTTCTGAATACACACCATTTTTGCAAAAAATGTTAAAATATTCTGTAGTATTTTAGAATATTCTCCATAGCTAGTGGGATTACTTGAGTTGTACTGGGGGAGTTTGGCTTTATTGATCTTAACACAGTACACAGAACTGAGACAGGAAGGCAGTTCCTACCCTTGAGAAATTACATATTCTTTCATGTTACCTCCTATTATTTCCTGAAGAACAGCAGATACCAGAATTCTGTAGCAGGGTATCGATCAGGATGCTGTCGTGGTTTAACCCCAGCCAGCAACTAAGCACCACGCAGCCGCTTGCTCACTCCCCATGCCCCGGTGGGACAGGGGAGAGAATCGGAAGAGTAAGAGTGAGAAAACTCCTGGGTTGAGATAGAGTAAGAGAAACACTCCTGGGTTGAGATAAGAACAGTTTAATAATTGAAATAAAGTAAAATAGTAATGATAATAACAATAATAATAACAATGTAATAATAACAGCAATAATAATATACAAAGCAAGTGATGCACAATGCAATTGCTCACCACCCGCCAACCGATACCCAGCCAGTCCCCGAGCAGCGATCGCTGCCCACCGGCCAAGTCTCCCATTTCTGTACTGAGCATGACGCCGTATGGTATGGAATAGCCCTTGGGTCAGTTTGGGCCAGCTGGCCTGGCTGTACCCCCTCCCAGTTTCTTGTGCACCTGGCAGAGCATGGGAAGCTGAAAAGTCCTTGACTAGCATAAGCAGTACTTAGCAACAACTAAAATATCAGCCTGTTATCAGCATTATTCTCCTCCTAAATCCAAATCACAGCACTATGCCAGCTACTAGGAAGAAAATTAACTCTATCCCAGCCGAAACCAGGACATGCAAACACAGAAGCTGATGGATATCATTTGTCTCAGAATGAAAGGAGATGATTTAGAAACAACCAGACTCAAGGCATCAAATTTGGTGAACATCATGCTCAGTATGGAAGGAAGCAATCTTGCTACTGGCTCTGTAAAGCAGCCTGGGAGCTAAGCCTGCTGACTCTAAAGGCTTTAGGATGCTTCTGGAGGTTTCCAGCACTGTAATTCTTGTTCCTACAGCAGTTTGACTTCTTTGCCCAACCACCTCTCAGGACTTTTTTGAGAGGAATTGCACTGTGGAGGTTTTTCTGCTGCGGGATAATTTTTTGACTTGGTCGGTTGCATAATAACAGTTGAAGGAAGGCTTGTAAAGATAGAGAAATCATTTCCATAAGTTTTATCCTGTTTTTAGAAGACACTTGTCATATATAGGTACTCTGAAGAATTTTAATTGAATTGTGAATTTAGCAATTCCCTGTTGACAGATTTTTGTATGTGAATGAGCAATACACTGATATGGCATGTTTGCTATTAGCTTCTTTAATTTTGGTCCTGTGTAGGGAGAGGAGTGAAAATCTTTGGGTTTAAGCACAATTTTCCAAACGTAGTCATGCATTTTTCCACCAAAGTGTGGTGTTTTGGGGTTATTTTCCAAACTCATTAAAATAGACACGTTCCACTGAAGAGAGCAGTAGAATAACAGTGTATCTGTCAAAAATTCATGTGGGCAGTTTAGAGATGAAGTGTGGGATATTTTTCAACTGGTTAAAAAAGGAGCTTATGGAAAACATGTAGAGCTCGATCCCCATCAATGTACTGGAGCTATCTCAGAGGTGAATACAAAAAAAGTTTATTTCATTTTGCTAATTCTTAACTACATCTCATAAAATCAACTCAGAAAAGCCATATTTATTATCATATGCAAGATAAGACCATATCATAAATGCTTTTCACCTTACTTCTGATGACATCGGAGTTAGGTCCATTGCCTTCAGCCTCCATCTGTAGTGCTAAATGAAGAAGGGCCAGGGACTAACCCCTGACCCCACGACACTAACTGGCCCCAAATATAATTCTTAGGTCTAATATGTCTAGGAGCAGGTTTGTTTTGGCAGGAGTGAGTTCAAGCAGCTCAGAACAGAGCCAGGGAATGAGCTAATAGTTGAGAGATGTGGATTGTTTTGGGCTAGTATTCAGGTCCATGGCTAGGCCATTTTTTATTTCAAATTGACATGGCCTAAGAGGGCTGTAAAGTGAAAACATGAATAAATACTTATGAATAAAGTGCTAGAGATTGAGGTTTGATGTTTGATTCTGCACTCGTCGTTTTCAGCTGGAGAAGTGCCCAGGTTAGAAAGAAATGTCTGATGCCTTTTTAAGTTTGCAGCTTATTTGTATCAAGTACAGTATTAAAAAACATAACTCTGAAAATAATTGTAGGAGAACTTTAATAGATATTTTTCTATTCACTTAATACTAGCAGGACCTGCTTGTCTTAAGACGCCAGTAATTGCTGGGAATCAGCCTAAGTTGTTATATTCTGAAGTTTGCAAGTCAGTTTTTATATACTGTGACCTACAAACTTCAAGATGATTATCTACTCTGACCACGCTAACAGTTACTTTGTAAAAATCTCTTAACATTCCATTGAGCACAGAAAAGAGTTGAAAATGGTTTAGATACATGAGATTTTAAAAATTATGTAATGTTTCTTTTTGAATAATTTGTTTTATATTTCCCTGTGACTGTATAGAACTTCTTGTTGGTGGATGGGGTGAGGAAAATGTTTCCCTTAGGGGCATTAATTGGCTTTTTTAGAGCTGGGGAATAGCTATTAGCTAAGAAACTGTGGCATTATTTTAACAGCTGTAATTAGGTCCTGTTTACTTGAGGACTAAAGAAGGCATAGCATAAAACCCAGGGAACCCATCTGTTATTTCCGGTTCTTACCTTATGTAAAAAAGTTAATTACTAAGAAGTTACAGGCAAAGCCTTGTATTTTCAGCTATACCGAGACTGCAAAACTTTCATTAGTGTCAGGCTATTTAGTGCCGTGATTATATGATCAAAGGTGGAGTTGTCTTGCCAGGCTAAGCTAGGCTTTTGTTCAGCAGAAAAAAATATAATAAAGAGTAGAACTAATGAAGAAAATGGCACAAAAGAGGGGGAAGCGGCAGGAACGTGCAGGATGTGTTTAGGCATTACCAAGTACTTTGCTGAAGACATTTTGCATGTAGTGTATTTCAGAGCAGCGGCTTTGCTAGCTGAGCCAGGTTGTCTTTGCCGATATCTTCGGGGCCTGAGCTCTCTCCTGGTCCCTTCTGTTGCCCTGTGCACAGACAAGAAATACCGTCTTGCACACACTGAACTTACTGTCTTGGATTGCTGTGGATTGGCAGTGGTTTTCTGGACCCAGGCTGATGCTACATGTCTTAAGGTACCATCCAAAAAGAGAGTTTTAGAAAAACCTGGACTCTACCGTATGTAATTAAATAAAGCAAAATGAGATTATCTGCGTAGCTCCACCTGGCGATATTGGACAGTATTGCACACACACCTGGTCAGATAAATAAAGGCATTTCTGTGTCAGGTTTGCTGTAAACTAGCACTGAAAAGAAAGTGAGTAGTAAACTACAAATTTGCTCACTGTTAGTAACATACAGTTTATTTATCATAAAGAGTTTCAGAACCAAGGGTATTTGAGCATCAAAATTTGAGCATCAGGTTTTTCTTCTGCAACAGTAGTCTCTCCAGGTATTTACATTTTGTCACAACAAGAAAATTTTTGATCAATAATTTCCAACAGAACCTGGGCAAAAGAATGAAATTAATTCTTATAAGTACAGGTGATTATGCTAAGTATAACTCATTCCTTTAAGATAAGCTGGGGAGAGGTTATGGATTGGGAGGAAAATCCTACGGAGGAAAAACTATCAAAAAAATACATTAACTAAGCAGTTTGATAAAGACTAATACGACAAATATTTCTGTGTCTTTCAAAGCTTGCAAAGCAGTCAGGCAGCAT